TGTTGTTACCCGGATACACGATGCTATCACAACCCGAGACGACACTATTACACAAAGACACAGTGCTATTACATGCTAAGATGATGTTGTTACCCGGATACACGATGCTATCACAACCCGAGACGACGCTATTACACAAAGACACAGTGCTATTATATGCTAAGATGATGCTGTTACCAGGAGACACGATGCTATCACAAGCCGAGACGACGCTATTACACAAAGACACAGTGCTATTATATGCTAAGATGATGCTGTTACCAGGAGACACGATGCTATCACAACCCGAGACGACGCTATTACACAAAGACACAGTGCTATTACATGCTGAGATGATGCTGTTACCAGGAGACACGATGCTATCACAACCCGAGACGACGCTATTACACAAAGACACAGTGCTATTATATGCTAAGATGATGTTGTTACCCGGATGCACGATGCTATCACAACCCGAGACGACGCTATTACACAAAGACACAGTGCTATTACATGCTGAGATGATGCTGTTACCAGGAGACACGATGCTATCACAACCCGAGACGACGCTATTACACAAAGACACAGTGCTATTACATGCTGAGATGATGCTGTTACCAGGAGACACGATGCTATCACAACCCGAGACGACGCTATTACACAAAGACACAGTGCTATTATATGCTAAGATGATGTTGTTTCCCGGATACACGATGCTATCACAACCCGAGACGACGCTATTACACAAAGACACAGTGCTATTATATGCTAAGATGATGCTGTTACCAGGAGACACGATGCTATCACAACCCGAGACGACGCTATTACACAAAGACACAGTGCTATTACATGCTGAGATGATGCTGTTACCAGGAGACACGATGCTATCACAACCCGAGACGACGCTATTACACAAAGACACAGTGCTATTATATGCTAAGATGATGCTGTTACCAGGAGACACGATGCTATCACAACCCGAGACGACGCTATTACACAAAAGACACAGTGCTATTATATGCTAAGATGATGCTGTTACCAGGAGACACGATGCTATCACAACCCGAGACGACGCTATTACACAAAAGACACAGTGCTATTATATGCTAAGATGATGCTGTTACCAGGAGACACGATGCTATCACAACCCGAGACGACGCTATTACACAAAGACACAGTGCTATTATATGCTAAGATGATGCTGTTACCAGGAGACACGATGCTATCACAACCCGAGACGACGCTATTACACAAAGACACAGTGCTATTATATGCTAAGATGATGCTGTTACCAGGAGACACGATGCTATCACAACCCGAGACGACGCTATTACACAAAGACACAGTGCTATTATATGCTAAGATGATGCTGTTACCAGGAGACACGATGCTATCAGAACCCGAGACGACACTATTACACAAAAGGTACAGTGCTATTATATGCTAAGATGATGCTGTTACCAGGAGACACGATGCTATCACAACCCGAGACGACGCTATTACACAAAGACACAGTGCTATTATATGCTAAGATGATGCTGTTACCAGGAGACACGATGCTATCACAAGCCGAGACGACGCTATTACACAAAGACACAGTGCTATTATATGCTAAGATGATGCTGTTACCAGGAGACACGATGCTATCAGAACCCGAGACGACACTATTACACAAAGGTACAGTGCTATTATATGCTAAGATGATGCTGTTACCAGGAGACACGATGCTATCACAACCCGAGACGACGCTATTACACAAAGGCACAGTGCTATTATATGCTAAGATGATGATGTTACCAGGAGACACGATGCTATCACAAGCCGAGACGACGCTATTACACAAAGACACAGTGCTATTATATGCTACGCACTATTATTATGCCCCTACACACACACCCTATTGTCCAGAATGTTTATTAAATGACCATTGAAACGGGTGAAAATGATGTGTGCACCCCCATTTCTCAAGAGAGTGCACCCTCTCTTTCTCAAAAAGCTGTATCCGCCCCTTAAACCACCAACCCATCTCAAAGAAGTCATTTCCACTGTGCAAAACCAAATTTTGTACAGACACATGAAATCGACAAACCAACTCTGGTGATTTTGGACACCAGAATAAAACAGTTGTTGAACAAATGAACATAATTTTGTTGTCACTTTTTGCTATTTTTTACCTACATTACACTACACTACGCTACACTACACGACGCTACACTGCGCTACAATATGCTACATTACGCTCTACGACACGATGCTACGCTACACTACACTGCACTACACTATGCTACATTACGCTCTACGACACGATGCTACGCTACACTACACTGCGCTACACTATGCTACATTACACTCTACGACACGATGCTACGCTACACTACACTGCACTACACTATGCTACATTACGCTCTACGACACGATGCTACGCTACACTACACTGCACTACACTATGCTACATTACGCTCTACGACACGATGCTACGCTACACTACACTGCACTACACTATGCTACATTACGCTCTACGACACCATGGTACGCTATGCTACATTGCACTACGCTATGCTACATTACACTCTACGACACCATGGTACGCTATGCTACATTGCACTACACTATGCTACATTACGCTCTACGACACGATGCTACGCTACACTACACTGCACTACGCTATGCTACATTACGCTCTACGACACGATGCTACGCTACACTACACTGCACTACACTATGCTACATTACGCTCTACGACACCATGGTACGCTATGCTACATTGCACTACACTATGCTACATTACGCTCTACGACACCATTCTACGCTATTGTACATTGCACACTATGACACCACGCTACGCTACACTACACTGCACTACGCTATGTTACATTACACTCTACGACACCATGCTATGCTACACTACACTGCACTACACTATGCTACATTACACACTATGACACCACGCTACGCTACACTACACTGCACAACACTATGCTACATTACACTCTACGACGCCATGCTACGCTACACTACACTGCGCTACACTATGCTACATTACACTCTACGACACCACGCTACGCTACACTACACTGCGCCACGCTATGCTACATTACGCTCTACGACACGACGCTATGCTACACTACACTACGCAACGCTATGCTACATTACACTCTACGACACCATGCTATGTTACACTACACTGCACTACACTATGCTACATTACACACTATGACACCACGCTACGCTACACTACACTGCACTACACTATGGTACATTACACTCTACGACGCCATGCTACGCTACACCACACTGCGCTACGCTATGCTACATTGCACTCTACGACACGACGCTATGCTACACTACACTGCGCTACACTATTCTACATTACGCTCTACGACACGACGCTATGCTACACCACACTGCACTACGCTATGCTACATTACACTCTACTACACCACGCTACACTACACTGCGCGACACTATGCTACATTACGCTCTACGATACGACGCTACCCTACACTACATTGCACTACACTGCACTACGCTATGCTACATGACGCTCTACAACACCATGCTACACTACACTGCTACGCTACGCTATGCTACATTACTTTCCACGATACCACGATACACTACACTGCGCAACACTATGCTACATTACGCTCTACGTTACGACGCCACCCTACACCACATTGCACTACATTGCACTACACTATGCTACATGACGCTCTATGACACGACACTACACAACACTACACTGCGCTACACTATGCTACATTACACTCTACGACTCGACACTACACAACACTACACTGCACTACACTATGCTACATTACGCTCTACGACTCGACACTACACAACACTACACTGCACTTCATTATGCTACATTAAACTCTACGACACGACGCTACCCTACACTACACTGCGCTACACTATGCTACATTACATTCTACGATACGACATTACCCTACGCTACACTACGTTACACTATGCTACATTACACTCTATGACACAGCGCTATGCTACACTACACTGCACTTCACTACACTACACGACATAACACACGACACTACACTATGCTAAGCTACTCAACACTACACAACACGACACTACACTGCGCTTTGTTGCACTACCCTATGCTACACTACACGACATCAAATGACACGACACTACGCTACATGACACTACACTACATTATACAACACTACAATGCACTGCTCTACACTGTGCTACTCTACACTGCCCTACACTGTGTTACACTGCTCTACACTGTGCTACACTACACTGCTCTAAACCGTGCTACACTGCTGTGCTACACTGCTCTACACCGTGCTACACTGCTCTACACTGTGCTACACACTGCTCTACCACACCGCTGTGCTACACTGCTCTACACTGTGCTACACCACACCGCTCTACACTACACTGTGCTACACTACTACTACACTACTTTCTACACTACACTGCTCTACACTACACTGCTCTACACTGTGCTACACTACACTGCTCTACACTGTGCTACACTACACTACACTGCACTGCACTGTGCTACTACACTGTCAACGCTGCTACATTACACTCTACGACACGACGCTATGCTACACTACACTGCGCTTCACTACACTACACGACATAACACACGACACTACACTATGCTAAGCCACTCTACACTACACATCACGACACTACACTGCGCTGTGTTGCACTACCCTAAGCTACACTACACCACACGAAATGACACGACGCTACGCTACATGACACTACACTACACCATACTACACTACACTGCTCTACACTACGCTACACTACACTGTATTACATTACACTACATTATCATTATACTTAATACAGGTTGCAAATATATATAATTTACTCTATTTGATATATTGGTAAATTATTTCAAGAAATTTCTGATTAAATTCGAGATATTTTTACAACAATTGAAACGATTGTCAGTAATTTCGAAATTCATGTGACAACGACTTGCCACAGAACCCCCCTCTCTTCACCCTCCTTACACGTGTCACGTGACATTCGCAACAGCGATCGCGTCACGTGATACACCTGACAATCACAACAGGTGATTTACCCACTGAGAATTATGCCAATTGTGGATTTATCCTGTCCTGTAGCAGAGTGACAATCGAATGGAACAATTTCCTACGTCTGACAGATGTAAGTATTTCATATATTCAATTATAGCGGTGTGTCACTGTGGTCGAATTTTCCGTTGTTAGTTTTAGCCGATGAGCAGGTGTTGGAAGGTGGGCTCCTTCATGTTGAGGTTTTTACATGATCAAGGGGATCAACACCTTCACACACATTGTCTTTCCAATGACCGTCCATCTGATTATGTTCTGTGTGCCGCCACGTGTCAGCCCACCAACAATATATGTCCGTCGCAGTTTGATTGTTTACAAGAAACAGCTCGCGAAGCGCAAATCAAGCGTAGCGTCCCACACCAGGTTGGGGTCTACATGTGTGGGTGTGTCGCTCAACAATCATTCTTGCGTGTTTGTGTCACTAACTTTCGCTATTTGAACATTCTATTTGTATGCGGGGATATTAGTTTACGTTTCTTTGTAAACAGGTTCTAATATGCCGGGAAAGCACGTGACTGTGTGTTACTGTTAACATAATTATAGGATGCTTGACGGGCATTTAGAAGTTGGAAGGTACCACAACAACGTATGGTATGGATTTACAACTTCTTTAATATTAATTTTACAACACGATGTTTCTTGGCTACTCCTTGCCCCTTCATCAGGTCGACCTGGTCGCTTGTTTATAGGACATTGTGTAATTAATACATTTTATCTCTCATATTGCTTCAGGCAGGATGATTAAGTCTGAATGGCAAGTTGCAAATAACTGCGCATAGTATTAGTTGTGTAGATTAAACAGCTTATAGCTCTACTGGGATCCAAATAATTTCGGTCAAACATAAAACTAAAATTAGTGTTTCTTCTTGTCGATTGCCTTTTAGAACATGAGATGAATATATCATGTCATATATTTTAGCTTCCATATATTTGCGGGAACACAAACGAGAAAGTGAGCGAGTGAGTGAGTTTAGTTTTATGCCGCTTTTAGCAACATTCCAACAATATCGCGGCGGGGGACACCGGAAATGGACTTAACGCATTAAATCAACAAAGCTGGAAAATCGAAACCGCATGACTAGAGAGCGCTTTAACCACTTGGGTACCCCACCGCCCCACAAACGAGAATGAGACTGGGTGAGTGAGTGAGTTTAGTTTTACGCCGCTTTTAGCAATATTCCAGCAATATCACATCGGGGGACACAAGAAATGGGCTTCACACATTGTGCCAGTGTGGGGAATCGAACCCGGGTCAAGGTGTGCCAATGTTGGGAATCGAACCCGGGTCTTCAGCGTGACGAAGGAACCCTTTAACCACTGGGCTATCCCACCACCCCACAAACGAGAATTAGACTGGGGCGTATAATGAATCAATGGTACAGTGCCTTTTAATCTGTTTCAGATCAGTCTACACCGTACTCAGGATATGGCGGAGAAAGGTGAGATACCTGTTGAAACTGACATCCCCACATAGAGAGTTTCCATCTGATGTGTTAAAGGGCCAGCCTGACACAGTGCTAGTATCTGGAGAAATGCGCGATTCTGAGATTATAGAAAATCGTTAAAATGTTTTTGACTACCTCAATAAGCGTTATACTAAACTTTACATGATTTAATTTGTAATGTATATAATAAGAGGTTCTTTAAATTTTAAATTTTAACTTTAACAATTTCCTTAAATGTTATTGAGCATCAATAACACTGGAATACTGTAAATATTTTCTGCATGGAAACTATAAATAAACACATGAGTGTGTTGGGGAGGGAGTTGAGTTTTACGCCGTACTCAGCAATATTCCAGCTATATGGCAGCGATCTGTAAATAATCGGATCTGGACCAGACAATCCAGAAATCAACAGAATGAACATCGATCTACGCAATTGGGATGCGATGACATGTGTCAACAGTCAACGAGCCTGACCACCCGATCCCGTTAGTCGCCTCTTACGACAAGCATGGGTTACTGAAGGTTCATTCTAACCCGGACCTTCACGGGTAATAAACACATGAGAAAGATCTAATCCATGAATAAAACAATGAATTCCATGTACTGGTCATTTCGAAATTTTCGCCTATTTTTTAACCAATGAAGTTGAACAAAATATTGATTGAAACTGTGTAAAGTGTAACGCTACTTCAATATTTAACCCTTTTCTAAGATGAAATTCAAACCGAATTAGACATTGATTTGAAACCAATCAAACAAACAAGTTCATAAACTCCACACGCATTTATACCACGTATGTTATGCCAGCTGCCATAGGAGAGCAACACAACATTTCTTATGTTACTTCCAACACAATCGGGGGCGGTGGGTACGTCTTGTGGTTAAAGCGTTTGCTCGTCACGCCGAAGACCCGGGTTCAAATCCCCACATGGGTACAATGAGTGAAGCCCATTTCTGGTGTCCCCCGCCGTGATGTTGCTGGAATATTGCTAAAAGCGGCGTAAAACCAAACTCAGTCAGTCCAACACAATCCTCAAAACTCACAGCTAACTGTTTTAGTTTAGTTTTACGCCGCTTTTAGCAATATTCCAGCAACTTCACGGCGGGGGACACCAGAAATGGGCTTCACACACTGTACCAATGTGGGGAATCGAACCCGGGTCTTCGGCGTGACGAGCCAACGCTTTAACCACTAGGCTACCCCACCGCCCCCGTCATGTTCTAAGTCTTGTTCATACCTTTGTTTCGTATCCAGGAACGTCAGTCCACGTCACTGGGAACCAAGGAACTGCCCACAGTGTGTATGCCATCGGAATCCACCAAGGGACACTAAACGGTATGCCTACAATAGAACAATAACACCCTTCTTTTCCTTTAGTTACTCTATGCTGGGCGTATATATGTTACAGTGAATATTTAAGACCAGGGATTATGTAATTTATAATCCCTGAAATGTTCAGAGATTATGTACATGGCTGATTCACTTACTCATTATATTTATTCTCTGAAATTTTCATTGACTTCACTGAAATGAACCCGGGACCTCAGCGTGACGAGCAGATGCTTATATAATGCCATTATTATGTTTGTTTGTTTTCCAGTAAACAATTGCGTGGATGAAGAAAGGATCCGTCACTTAAAAGGTAAAACTGGATGGAGTGTGTGAGTAACACGCGTTATTTCAGCCATGTACCAAGAGACCATATATCCAAGTTCATTATAAACACACCGTTCTGTTAAAAGCAATTTGTGTACATACACATTTTAACTTCACACATTTACAATATCATTTACAATTTACAACACATCAAATGCAGTGTGTGCACTTCTATCCAAACCGTTCCTTAATATCTGTCTAAAATATCACCATATTTCCAGAACAAACAAGGAAAGATATTACTATCTGGAACAGAGGAATGGTCAGAGTGTCTGCCATTGAAACCGTCATAGAGAAGCTTCAAACAAGGCACCGATGGGTAACTGTTACCGGAAATGCTGGTGACGGCAAGACAACTCTTGGTTACATGACGCTGAAGAGTCTGCAGGATGGCGGGAAGGAAGTGTTCAAGATTAATACTCCCGACGACTACTTCGTTGTCTTAAGGAAGACTCCTGACAGTGTTGTTTTCATTAACGATGTTTTGGGAGTTTTCGATTTTGACCAAAGAGCTTTTAGCACTTGGCTTCCTGTGTTTCAAATCATTTTAGACCGACATAACAAGGTAGCTGACGGCGGAAGTTGTCCACGCATAATATTTGTGAGCAGGCTCCATGTTTTGGAAGCTGCTAGGAATCAATTGGGAAAATATGGAGATGTCATTTTGGAAGAGGATGCAATAGTCAATCCCGATAAGCTGAATACAGACAGGGAGAAACTTGACATCTTAAACTTTCATCTTTCCAAACATAATATAAGTGACATTCCGGAAAGTACTAAGATGCAAATATACAGTCAGTGTCCTCATGGATTTCCTCATTGCTGTGAGATGTATGTTGAACTGAGAGCTAGTGGACATGAAATTGATATTGTCAATTTCTTCGCTTCACCTCTCAAATTTCTCAATTACACAACACGTGTTTTGATTGATAAACAGGAATGTTACGATCATTTTAAAATACTTCTGAAATCAGATGGCCAACTGGATATCTCCAGTATTTCAGATGCAACCTTACGAACAGACATGCAAAACACAGTTTCTCGTTTATTGGGAAGTTATCTTAAAATGAGTGGAAATGGTGTTGCATTCTCCCACCCATCCATCTATGAGAGTGTGGCAGTAGCAGTTGGAAACAAAGACCCTCTCTTTGCTGCACAAGAGTTTCCTATTTCAGTCATCATGCAAAAGTGTAAGGTACATGTGCCACAAGAAGGAGAAATTGAGATGTGCATCTTCTTCAAAGAATCATCCTCAGCCATGGACGCACTTGTTCAGAGGCTGGCTGCAGAAATACGTCAGGGGAACTATACCGTGATACAACATGAGCTCTGCTGGGAAAGGAAGCTCTGTGAGCAGATGATAAACACAAGTGTCTCTAACACAATGTTTCCTTTTGGTCAGGTAAGAAAAATACATGTAGTCATATTAGGTTTCTCTAATTGAATCATTGGTGTTAAGGTTAACAAGTAAGGGATACTCACAGAACAAAAACCTCTGAAGTCTTTCGTTCTTGTTATTAAGTTTGTTTTGTTGTTTATGTTTTAACACTGCACTCACCAATATACCAGCTATATGTCCACGGTGTGTAAATCAAGTCCGCATTTATATTATTAACCGCTTATTGAATCCATTTGCAGGCATGGAATCGTGTCAGTATCAATCGGAGAGACAGTACAGGGAGAACCCTGCTGCATGCAGCTGTTAGATGTCGCAACTGTATTGCTGCTAAGATCCTGCTGGAAAATGGGGCAAATGCGAACATTTCTCCAAAGCAACACGTTTCACCTAGAGGTATCTTTGGCTGTGTACTCAGAAGCATCGCCGATAAAGACCCATATGCGCTCTTCAGGTTCCTGACTTCTGGAGAGACTGTACTTCATGCTGCATGCATGAATCAAGATGTAGACGTTGATCTACTTCGTCTGTTGATTGATCATGGTGCAGACGTCAGTAATGCTAATGAGGATGGAGAGACGGCCTTGCACTTCCTGTGTCAGAGAGAAAACGAAGATGAGGGGGTTTATCTAGGTGGATGGAGAGGGGTTAACAAAACTCTGTCAAATATCACCAAAAGAGCCTTCAATAGTGGACTAAGCGACACAGAGACGAAAATTGATACAAGGTTCTCCAGGATAGACAGTTTGGAGACACTGGTGGACTATTTGTGTGAAATAAACGGTATAGATAAAGCTGAACAGTGTTCTTTTCAGGAAAGGCAACAGGGAGGAGCTGAAAGTATCCTGGCCTGTTTAGTCCGAAGCATCTTCAAGCAAGACCCAGATGCTCTTGCCAGAACCCAAGCATATGGACATACTGTATTTCATGCAGCATGCATGAATCTTGATGAAGACGTTAATCTTCTACATCTGCTGATTGATCATGGCACAGACAGGAAAGAAGGCAAAGATGACTTTGCTTTACTGGGTGGATGGACTTTCAATACAACGTCAAATAGCTTTTCAAGGCCCCCCAGTCGTGAACAAAGGTACACAGAGACAAAAAATGATACACGGTTTTCCAGGGCCGTTAGTTGGGAGGCATTGTTGTACCAAGACCTCATGGATGCACGTCATAAAAGACTGAATGTAGAATATTATGTCTACCAGGCAGACAGTTATGAGACACTGGTGGACTATCTGTGTGAAAAGAATGGTATAGATAAAGAGGAACTAGAAGGTACACGACGTTCTTTCGAGGAAGGACAACAGGGGACAGAGACGGAAGAAATGAAGGCTATCACACTGCTGATCCAAAAAGGGCTGGATGTTAACAAAGCCGATATGTTTGGGCAGACAGCCCTTCACTTATTGTGTCAGAGATCTCGTGTAGATGTCAGAATAGTTCATCTGTTGCTCCAAAATGGCGCTGGTGCCAACACAGCTGACAAAGAAGGAAACACTCCTGTGCACTATATCTGTCAGCGGAAGGCAGCAGATATCAGTACGTTGTATCTTCTGACAGAAAGCAGTGTCGATGGAACGGTGCACGATAAATACGGACGTACTGCCTTACATTATTTGTGTGAGAGACAGAGAGTCAGACTTGCCAAGAAACCTGATCTCACGTGACAATGTTGCACAAGATAACAAGGGATGTGTGTTGCATAATCTGCGCATGACGTATCTCGTGGAGCTGCTGGTGATCGTGTTTCAGGCATATTTGCCTCTTTATTACAACTTTTGCTTATTTCCATATTTTTCGATAAATAACACACTCATCCCCACCTGAATATTAGACAACTGATCAAAATGCTTTTTCCAATACTGAAATATATGTTATTGAACAAATGCTCTGTTATCGTATCGCATGGTAACAATCACTGGATTTGTACAACATCGTACAGCTATAATACTGCTCAAACAAATATATAGTCATGATATTGTGACAATTGTACAATCGTTTCTGCTTTTAGCAGAGATTTCTTATGGATGTGGAAAGGGTTTTGGCACTTCTATTTATAAGAAGATGGGATAGTAGTTTGAGTGAGTATGGCTGCAGTTTACGCGGTTTTATCTATCAGAAATACGAAACCCACGATATATCTTCCGCCGACAGCTTGTGGTGCAGGTGCTTTAATATGTTTATTACTTTTTGTGAAACCTGATGTCAATTTATATTTTTCAAGCATTCTCAGCCACCCGCCATAGTCGACCACCACTTCAACAGGAATATATAGCAGGTGTTCCAAGCACATTTTTCAACAGTACGTCTTAATATATAATACTCAATAAAGGTTTTCGTATCAACCATCCGCAAACCATCTTCTTTGTATAATCTCTACAAATTTTCTTTTTACTTTTTTCTTAATTATATTCAGCATGAATTTGATAAATATTGTTTTCAGGGAAGGGATAAATGTTTAGGAGGATTGGGTAAAGTATTAAAATATGTACCAGTTTTGATATAGTTAACTTTTGGTCAAAGATATTTTCCCAGTCAGTGTCAAAAGTCTTTTCCGCCATTGTGCAAGCAGTCCATTGTGAATCCTTGAGATGGATTAATGTTCAAGAGCAACTGGAATCTATACTATGTGTATTTGAGCAATGGCAAAGATGATCAGACTGGTTTACATGTATGTTTATTTGTCGTCGGTAAAGTGTCTTACCTTTGTTATTGTTCATCAACTATGTTGTCACCCGTAAAGTATCTTAGCTTTCTTATCATTCATCAACTAAGTTGTCATCCGTAAAGTATCTTAGCTTTCTTATCATTCATCAACTATGTTGTCACCCGAAAGTATCTTAGCTTTCTTATCATTCATCAACTATGTTGTCACCCGTAAAGTATCCGTAAAACTATCTTAAAGTATTTCTTTCTTATCATTCATCAACTATGTTGTCACCCGTAAAGTATCTTAGCTTTCTTATCATTCATCAACTATGTTGTCATCCGTAAAGTATCTTACCTTTCTTATCATTCATCAACTAAGTTGTCATCCGTAAAGTATCTTAGCTTTCTTATTATTCATATCGCGGCTCGCTGACTTGGCTTTACGCGGCTCGCTGACTTGGTTTACACATGTCATCGTATCCCACTTGTGTAGATAGATGTTCATGCTGTTGATCACGTGTTCTTTATTTCCTTAGGAAACTTGATGATGTCGCAATAGCTACACTGTCGACGTTTCGTTCCGCCATGCATTGATTTATATTGGTCCCCACATGGGTACAATGTGTGAAGCCCATTTCTGGTTTCCCCGCCGTGATGTTGCTGGAATATTGCTAAAAGCGGCGTAAAACCAAACTCAGTTAGTCAGTATATTGGTTTGCATGATAATTTTGTATGAAATAAATCTTTCTTCCAGATACATCAATAATATTTTTTGGTAAATTAACCAAAGCATACCTACGGTTTACTAGTAACGTAACATTGTAACATTGGCAAGCCTATCCTTTCAGTTTTACATAACAGACTGTAATCTTTTTATAACTTCAGCTTATTCTAGTGGCATATATTTGTGCTGTATTTTACTATCGTGACGGAGTTATATATAATTGAAATACTTCTCACTGATGCGTTTAACCAATTCACACGCTTAGGCACAACGATGTTGAACAATGGCATGGTGTTCAGAACATCAAAATACAAATCATAAGTCAGCCAAAGAGTGGCCACTTTCCTCCCTTAAGTTAAGTCCTATTTAAAGTTCCTGTCTAAACGTGCGTCAAATTTTATCATTCATTTGTCAATTAACCGCACTACGCGACGCTGGAATCATCTACACTGCGCCGCGCTGCTCGACATGACACGCTTCAAACACAAGGCTATATGGATGGATTGATTGATATTTAATACCACACGCAGCAATATTCCCGCTACATGGCACTGTAGGTCTGGACAAGAAAATCCAGATCTACGCACTTGGAATACGGCATGCTGACATGATTCAACAGGGTTGAGCCTGACCACCCAATCCTGTCTGTCACCACTTACGACAAGCATGGGTTGCTGAAGACTAATTCTAACCCGGTAGACAACGCTATAAAGAGTACACTACACATCAGCCAAAGCAATTACAGATGGCATCAAGATATACTCTATCTCACTTGAGTTACTGTCTCTGTACATTTCTTTCGTTGTTTGATTGAAGAAATTCTCAGTTACTAATGGGAGTACATATGGGCGAAAAGATTATCATTTCATAGATCATTGTCTCAAATCTGTTCAGTAATGTATTTTTGTAGCAACTTCTCCTCTAAATCTATAAATTGAAAAGAAGATGGAGATGAGATGTGCGTTCACTCAACTTTCCATGGATCGACCGTCCCTCGGGAGTACAGAGAACAGGATTGTAATACTATGAAGATATTTGCATACTATGATGAAGATACTAATTTGTGTATTGCATATTTTACCGAATCACTGACAAATGTATTGGTTTTGATTGGGCAACTTCTTCCTTGAGTAAGTGCAGTGTTCGCGTTAACGCAGAAACCTGCGTTTTTCACGCAAAAAAAATCACAAAAGCACGCAAAAGAATATTGTGCGTGCGTGTTTTGCACGCACAGATTCTGATCTACTCAATTTAAAAAGTACTTTAAAACAGTATTTAAAACAAATCTATTAGGCTGCTCATAGACGAAAATATAATCGGAGCTTGGAAATTCCCATTGTTAAAAATAGAACGTATCCTGCCGCCAGATGGCGCCTTGAATCGCGTCGTTGTCACAGGGGCTATGATTGGGTAACACATTGTTTGAACATTATCGTCTGCAATTTAGAAGTGAAGTGACACCACACAATCATCATGTCAAAACAACAGGCGTCCATGTTACGGTTAGTCTAGACTAGATCTGATGCCGATACATGCACTAAGAAAGACACAGCTCTCAGTGCGGACTGGATAGATGATAAATCGAGTGACGCACTCACCGACTCTATAGTAGTGGGCCCAAATCTTCATCAAGTTGTTCAGAAATTAAAAAGCCTCGAAAATAACCTGACTTTTTGTCCAAATGGTCAAATGAATTTCTGTGGTTGCGACAAACATCGTCAACTGATGGGATTGTCATGTTTTTGCACAGCGTGTGAAAAAGCAGGCATGTCTAATACCTTCAGAAGAGTGAGTGAGTGAGTTAAGATTTATAGTCACATCGTCAATATTTCAGCTATATCCTGACTTTAACAAATTACAAATTCATAATCATATTAAAATTAAACAAATTTTATGAACAATACAACATATAAGAACGGGCCAGACATCACCAGAAACTGAAGGTAGGTCACCATACTAGTGAGTGAGTTAAAATTTAACGTCAGCTCGACAATATTTCAAGGTCACCATACTAAGGACTTACAGTATATTTGCTAATTTGCATGGACCCTAGTTGGATTAACACCATCCCTTCAGCCGTTGGCGATTGTAGGAAAATTAGACAAATGCCACATTAAAAAGAAATATGGTAAGTACAAATTTACCTTGAATGTTTTGGGACTTACGGTTCCCCACAGAGGGACAATAATTTTACAATACTTCAACCCCCTGTGAGGATACAGCCACTAACACCTTTACAAGAGGGTGTAGGACATATCAGCGAAATACTCTTGTTAGGCATAGTGTCTTGGCGGACCACAAACTTGCAATCATTTCAGAAACAATATCAAAAACATTGCAAAAACACGCCCAAAACACTGATGTTGCGCACAGTCTATGGCATGGCCAAGGAGGAAGTGCCGGAGAGAAAGTTTTCCATTCTTAAGAAACTACAAGAAATTAATGGCGTTCTTGCATTTCAGAGTGGCAAATACTACACACATCATATCATGATCGTTCATTATATTCAAACGCTGCAACGTAAGTTAAAGCTTGTAAATATAATTTCTTGTTGTGATAATGATGTTATTGTAATGAAAATTTCACCCGCAAAAGATTTGGACTACATTTTTATCATTGTACTTCTGCACGCACTAGTACAAATCCTACCGCGAACACTGAAGTGCTTATTCAATGCCTGAGTCAGCACAGTTCCATCTATGTCTTGACGGCCTCTCAGTCATTGAGTCAGAGAACAAAGTTACACTAGAAAAACATCACGGGCAACTGGGGAACATGACACCCAATCACCACAGCCTCAGAGTTTGATTAGACGTATGAGATATTGCTGGTTATGTGAATGAGTGAGTGAGTGAGTTAATATTTAACGTCACATTGGCAATATCTCAGCCATATCGTGATGAGAACATGTTTGACATTGAAATGGAATATATGTATATGATAAAAACCTGTCTACGAAGGACAGTAAAACAACTAGAATATCACAATTACAACTAAAACTAGTGTGGAAAGTCAAAACTAATAGCACTTTTTGGACAATACAATATAAAAACTGGCTATAGATCGCCAACAACTGAAGGTAGATCACCAACTTAGGGACCATGGGGACTTACAGTACTTTTGCTACCTGCATGGATTTATATCATCCCTTCAGCCACTGGTGATTGAAGTAAAATTTAGCCAAAATTAGAATACTACATTTAAAACAGCTGATAAATTTAAATTTCCTTTGAATGTTTCGGGACTTACATACCTTCTCAGGAGGATAATCATTTTACGCTGCTTCAACCCCCTTTGAGGGTACAGCCACTAACAATTTCAGTTACTAATCTAAACTACAATAAATTATGTATCTATTTACAAATCAGTTAACTAGTCTAATTCTTTTAAAAATGCAATAATTAAATGAGAACTTATATTAGTAAAAAGATCCTTCATGGTTCGCGCTTTGAAATAGTTATCCCTTGTGATTCGGTTATGTGAATGGATACACGAATCCCAGCAGAACACAAACAAACTAGTACATTCAGATATGGAAATATTTTAATAGTATATGTAAATGTCTGAATGTTACAGACTTATACCCGAAGGACGTCTAAATTGTGCCTTTTGTCACATCAATTCACATTGCATACCTTCAATATGTCATAGCACTTACATTTAAGAGAAACAACGTTTTTGTTGTTGAGCGAGAAATTATATGGCCTCCTTCTGTGAAAACCTTAACCACGTCTTATCTTTAACAAATATTGTCCACAGAGTGTTCACAGGGGTATAAATCTCAAACTATGAGTGAGTAAGTGAGTGAGTTTGGTTCCACGCCGCTTTTAGCAATATTCCACCAATATCATGGCGGGGGACACCAGCAATGGGCTTCACACATTGTGCCCATGAGGGGAATCGAACCCGGATCTTCGGCGTGACTAGCGAACGCTTTAACCACTAGGCTACCCCACCGCCCCAAATCTCAAACTAAACTCTACCCGGAATATCAAGTAACTAAATCACAGTGAACGAAACTTAGTCAACCGATGTGTGTCGTTAGAGAAGACTTCTACAGAGCACAGACCGATATAGCAATCCAAGGATGTGGTTCAAGTCTGATATTGGTGATCCTATATGATCACCTGTAGGCCTGGCTGTGTATTTTGTCGGTTTATGTTATGAATGTAAAGCCCGATTGCCAGCTGATGAACCCGTACAGCCTTGAAGGGTAGTTTCGACGATAAATATGCATATATTTGCTAAAAGATCTGTTAGAAAAGGAAAGGAACGTTTTCACCCTCTAGGATAAAATCACCCATTCAAGATTTAATCATTATTTCATTCAATAATTAATCAATGATATATCTATTTAACATATAAAATATTACTGATATTAAAAATTTGTTTAGTTATATTTAAATTTAATCTTATTCCGACATCATTAAACTAAACTTAGATTTCAGCAATTCGTTTAAAGATACCATTAATATGCTTCATCATATACTTAATTCATTTTCCAATATCATGAATGTTATTGCAGATATCTACAATTGACTCTATTCGAGATAGTTTTAATTCATTTCAAGATATTTCTGATTAAATTCAAGATATCTGAACATTTGAAAAGTGTCAGTAATTTCGAAAATAATGTGACAAAGACTTGCCACAGAATCCCCCTCTCTACACCCTCTTTACGCAATCGAACACGTCACGTGATACATCTGACAATCACAGCAAGACGATGACGAGTTGCCCTTTACGAATGTACGACAGTTGTGGATTTATCCTGTCCAGAGGCATAGCGACAATCGTGTAGAAGATATTCCCTCGTCTGACAGATGTAAGCATTTCATATTTTCAAGCATAGCGGTGTGTCACTGTGGCCGCGTCCTCCATTGTTGGTTATGGCGGATGAGCAGGTGTTGGAAGGTGGGCTCCTTCATGTTGAGGTTTACATGATCAGGGGGATTAACACCTTCACACACATTGTCTTTCTAATAACCATTCGCCTGAATATTTTCGGCATGCTACCACATATTACCCCACCAACAATATATGTCTGACTGAAGTTTGTTAGAAACAGCTCGCGAAGCGCAAACAAAGCGTAGCGTCCCATACCAGTGGAGGGTCTACATGTGTGGGTGTGTCGGTCAACAATCATTCTTGCGTGTTTGTGTCTCGTTACTTCAACATTGGATTTGTATGAGGAATTATTAGTTTTAGTATTAGGGTTAGTATTTTGTATTAGGGTTAGGGTTTTAATATACCGATGGGTCAACATGACTGCGTCTTGACATTATTATTTGATACAGTGGAATTAATGAATTTTGACTTCCTAATATTTCTTTAGTAAGGGTGAATATGTATAGCTTGGAAAGGCAAGTTGCCTAAAATAATGGCGCACATTATTTATTGTATAGCTTAAACATCTTATAGATTGAAGGGAGTTCCAGTCTTAAATAAAACTAAATGTAGTGTTTCATGACTCGCAAGTGGAAGATACTGCAGTGTAATACTTTTACGGCAGTATTACACTAGTGTAATACCGCAAGACGTATGACGTCATTATGGTTTACAGTTATGACATCACAATGATACTGACTCATCACAATGGTATTAGACCTTGTTTGACTCGCGGATAACCGAGAGCAGGCAGCTTCTAGTCCAGTCAAAGTGTGACAAAACCTCCAAATAGTTGGTACAGAAATGAGTTGAGTGTTTTCAACATGTTTAAATTATAACTAATGAGTATTAAAAAGTCCTCCTTGAAATATGATGCTAGATTCTATTTTGGGGGTAAAGAGTTTAAAAATTGAAATCTTCAGTAAATAACTTTTAAAATCTCATATTGAGACACAAATTTACCTTTTTATATATATTTTCAATGGGTACATAAGGTACTACCAATAGATGAATTAGAAAAGTCAAATAATGTTATCCGATGTCCTATTTTGGGGTAAAAAGTTATAAAAAAAATATTTCAGAGAATATTATTAAAAAATTTCATATTGAGACACAAATGTACTTTTTATGGATATTTTCAAAGAGAACACAAGGTATTACTAATACTAGTACATGGGTTATAAAAAGTCAAATAGATGTATGCTAAATCGTATTATGGGGTAAAAAACTGAGTCTAAAAATTGAATTAAAGAAAAGATGTTTTTAGTAAAAATATGTGTTATATATATAATTTATGTGTTCAGTTTCATGTTTTTCGTGAAGATTTCAGTCCGTTTTTCAAATGATTTCAAATCAGATAAAAATATCAGCAAGGGTATAATTCTAAATATTTGCAAGGGTTCACTCAATTCTGCTGGGGTAACCTTAGTGGTTAAAGCGTTCAGATCCGGGTTCGATTCCCCACATGGGTACAATGTGTGAAGCCCATTTCTGTTGTCCCCGCCGTGATAATGCTGGAATATTGCTAAAAGCGGCGTAGAAACATACTCACTCACTCTGCTCACATAATAATATGTAGTTGCCAGTTACAGTTAAAGGAGAACAAACTTATCCTTCAATCAACTTTTGAAATTATTTCTAAATTAATAGCATAGAAAATATAAATGGTATCATATTTTCCTAATCTATCATTCTGGCATATGTTTCTTCAAGTTCTGTTAAATCTTGATACAAAATGTCCCATTTATCACCAAGGTTCGTAGTCTTACACGACCGCAGTGCATATAGTTCTGTGGGCTAATTAAAGGAGCAGAATCACCTCAGTCCTCCTCCTCATCTCTTTTAATTGTAGCTTTTAGCTGTCTTTTTAATCCTTTATCTATTTGACTAACGGTAGCCTCATCTAGTTAGAGTTTTATAAAAGATATAACCTTTCCTTTCCATTCTGCTACTTCAATATATTGTAAACAAAGGGGAGATAACTCTCATTTACTTGTTTCCAGTGTGCTGGAGTGTCCAAAATCAAGTTCAAACCTCATGTCATAATTTTTTTTCAGTATTAATTTTCATTATTTACTATCTTATACACTTCAGTTGTATGTTTTGCAAGTATTTTCAGAATTCAAAAAAATAATTGAAAAATACCATTTTTCATAGTTTTTGCCCCCCAAAAGCCACTTAGTATCAACATCCAAGGGACAGCTTTTTATATATTGTTTACACAACTATAATAATTGTAAACGATATAAACACAAAACCATTTCTGTACCAATATTTTGGAGGTTCAGCGATTTTTTCCACTAATTTTACTGGACTATACTTTCTATTTAGCACAATATTAAACTCGCTTCCGTGAAACACCATTTGTATTAACTCGTGAAAGATTTAGTATTCTTTATTTATTGTATTTTGTCACTTGACTATTAGAACATGAGATGAATAGGCCATGTTACTAGTATATTATATTATTTTAGCTTTACACAGTGTACTTGTAAGTGAAGCATAGAGCCTCACATTACCCTGCTTCCATATATTTAAGTTGAAGTAGTGGTACTAGTCGATTTAATCTGTTTCAGATCAATCGAGACTGTGCTCCAGACAGATATGGCAGAGAAAGGTGAGTTATATGTCAAAACTGATCTCACCATCTGATGTGATAAATCACCAGCCTCACACAATGCTAGAACCTGGAGGAACACACGGTTCTCAGATTACAGAAAATGTTTAAGATGTTTGTTGAACTACCTTAATAAGCGTTAGACAAAACTTTACATAACTTTCCCTTTAATGTGTATAATTTGAGATTCTTTTAATTTTGAACTTGAAGTCTTGATAACACATCGTTTTGTATCCAGGTACGTCGGTCCACGTCACTGGTAACCAAGGAACCGCCAACATCGTGTATGCCATCGGAATCCACCAAGGGACTCTAAACGGTATGCCTACAATATAACTATAACGTCCTTCTGTTTCTCCAGTTACCTAATATGCCCAGGAATTTATACATGGGATGAACATATTGTCACCTAACAAAAAGAGTATTTGCAATGTTGCCCACGGCGTGTTTCGCATCGGCATCCACCAAGGGACTCTAAACGGTAAACGTTCTATAGTATACCTATAACACACTTCTTTCCGTTTTTTGCACACGTACATGATATTACCTCAACAAAAGGTATGTGTGCAATATTGTTATAGGGACTAATTGAGGACAGCCATCGTCCAAATATTTAAACAGTCAAAAACTATGTAGTCAAGACATGTGAGACCTTATTGTAATTATTTATATGACGCTAATCTGTATTCTGTGTAATCTTTATCACTACCGCATTGTACATTGACTTGTCAGCCCATTCATTACTGTGTAAGACATTTATAACCTTAATTGGTAATCCCCCTTGGCCGTGTTTGCCATCGTGTCAACTGGTCAAGGAAGTGCTATTTTCTCTCTATCTGTCCATTGTTGAGTTGTCGCTAGTCCGGTATTCCGACTGTCTGTAGGGACGACCACGAGCAGGATAATGCCGCTCGTAGGAAACGCCCGAGGTTGAGCAGGTACTCCGCTCACCTCATTTATGTCTTGTGTATTTGTTTGTCATGTAACTAAAGAAGTTTGAGCACAAGGTATTCCTTTGTCTTGTCAACGTATTGTACGTACACTGCATTTTAGACATGAGCTAATTCCCCAGACCACATATACGACGCGTTGACAAAATTATCAAATTAAACGAGAGACAGGGATAGATTATCCCCTCAATCACCATAGCAGGGTTTAAGGTAATAGCGCAATACAGAGTACATATGCGTGTTCCTTTACCCAATATATGTTTACTCTCAGGCTAAAGCCAGAGTCACACCAAGGTAGTTCTTAGTACGTCCAGCCTCGTCCACAAAATAACTGTAAAACGGGTTGGAGCGGGATAGAAAGTGTAATATTATCTCTCAAGAATTGCTTGTTAATGTCATATGTTGTATTTACTAATGTCCACAAAAAGAGCCCCTTAACATGTTTGCAGATTATGCTTTGATGCTTTTGACGTACATCTACGTCACAAGTCTTCCGTTATCACATCAATGTTACTTCCATTTAGTTTCACATGTACAATTACAGGTAGGTTATATATTTGTTATACACAATTCTCAGATGTCAGGCAATAAAATGGTCAGAATGTATTGCAGTAAAGTACGTTTCCAACGAACTCGCTTCTTACCGACTCACGGACTCTTCGTTTCGTCACGACCACTTGATGGATATTTCACTCGAACTACATAGTTTTGTCCCTTTGAGTTGGTCATGACCGTACTTTACGGTATATACTTTTTGTAGTGTTCTGTTTGTTTGAATACATGACACGTTTTATGGATAACAACTTCTTTTTTTATTCTTTACACGACGTTTCAGAGCTGAATCTTGCTCTTTCATCAGGTGAATGAGAGCAGAGAGTGAATATATATAGATAGAAACATGTTTACACATTGCAAGAAGGGAGAATGTACAGATAACACAATAATTACGAAGATAACAACGTAATAAGCAGCCAATGATAACAACATGATAGGAAGCCAATTAGATAGGATTAATGTACAAAGATAACAACTTAATAAGCAGCCAATGATAACAACATGATAGGAAGCCAATTAGATAGGATTAATGTACAAAGATAACAATGTATTGTAATGACAAAGATAACAACTTAATAAGCAGCCAATGATAACAACATGATAGGAAGCCAATTAGATAGGATTAATGCACAAATGATAACAATGTACCAATTAGTAATTAATGACAAAGAGATAACAATAAGCAGCCAATGATAATGAGTGCCAATTAGATAACAAAGATAACAACAATAAGCAGCCAATGATAAGAACATGATAGGAAGCCAATTAGATAGGATTGATGTACAAAGATAACAACTTAATAAGCAACCAATGATAGCAACATGATAGGAAGCCAATTAGATAGGATTAGTGCACAGAGATAACAATGTAAGGATGAAGCCAAGAGATTATAGGACAATAGAATATACACCGGGAAGGTAAATGCCTTGGTCTCGGTTAATGGCTGTTTGTTTGTTTGTTTGTTTGTCGATTATTTGCTCACCAGCTTCACCCAATACCGTAAGTGAGAAGGTATGTTAAATATAAAGCTTCACCCAATACCGTAAGTGAGAAGGTATGTTAAATATAAAGCAAGATTTTAGAAGCATGGATGGGTCTTTTACTGACTTGAGGATCGCCTCTCACAGTGTGCGAAAGATTTGTATAGATGACCTTACAGAAAGAATTCTTTTAGCAATACACCTTCAGGAAATGACATCCGGATAAAAACCCGGAAGTGTACATTTTAACTTACCTTGCTACATATAATCCATAAATCATTCATGCCATTACGTGTTTTGTTTTCTAAAATGCCATTAATGACATTTTTTCCTTTTTGTCTAGTAAACAACTGCGTTGATGAAGAAAGGCTACGCCATTTAAAAGGTAAAACTGGTGACGTCGCAATGGCATTATTGTAGCTATATACACAAGTCCATTATAAATCAAACTTATAATGTATTTATCCATACCATTTTTATATTATATTAATTACAACTGTTTTACATTTTAAACCACCACCACACCTAATTTAGCAACATGCAATCAGCTACATACATACATATTTACAATTTATGATGCATACCAGTTTCCTTTATGTAATGAATACAATAACCAGATACATATATATTATAATATTATGTTTGAAAAAACATGTAAAAGTATGTCAGTAATTCCGTTATGACCAGCATAGATAAGAGGTTGTGTCTTTTAAGTACTTTTAACAACCGTGAAGATTCGGGTTAGAATTGGTCTTCATCTACCCATGGTTGTCATATGACTGACAGGATCTAGTACTCCGACTCGTTGACTTGGTTGACACATGTCATCGAATCCCATTCCACTCTACTGATCACTGGATCGTCCGGAAGAGAGGCAATTATCAACAGACCGCCGCCATATAGCTGGAAAGTTGCTGTGTGTGGTATTAAACAACAAACAAATAAATACGACATAAACACACATTCAGTGTTTGCACTTCTCACAGGTATCATAATATCTGTTTGAAGTACCAATATTTTTTACAGAACAAACAAGGAAAGATATTGATATCTGGAACAGAGGAATGGTCAGAGTGTCTGCCATTGAAACCGTCATAGAGAAGCTTCAAACAAGGCACCGATGGGTTACTGTTACCGGAAATGCTGGTGATGGCAAGACAACTCTTGGTTACATGACGCTGAAGAGTCTGCAGGATGATGGGAAGGAAGTGTTCAAGATCGATACTCCCGAGGACTACTTCGTTGTCGTAAGGAAGGCTCCTGACAGTGTTGTTTTCATGAATGATGTTTTGGGCGCTTTTGATTTTGACCAAAAAAGTTTTAGCACTTGGCTTCCCGTTTTTCAGATCATTTTAGAACGACAGACAAAGGATACTGAACACAAAGATGGTCCACGCATAATATTTGTGAGCAGGCTCAATATTTTGGAAGCTGCAAGGAATCAACTTGGAAAATACGGAGACGTCATTTTAGAAGAGGATGCAATAGTCAATCCCGATAAGCTGAACACAGACAGGGAGAAACTTGACATATTAGACTTTCATCTGTCCAGACATCATATAAGTGACATTCCAGAGAGTACCAAGATGCAACTATATAGTCAGAGTCCTCATGGGTTTCCTCATTGCTGCGAGATGTATGTTGAACTGAGAACCAGTGGACATGAAATTGATATTGACAATTTCTTTTCTTCACCTCTCAAATTTCTCAATTACACCACCCGAGTTTTGATTGATAAGCAGAAATGTTATGATCATTTTAAAATACTCCTGAAGGCTGGTGGTCAATTGGATATTTCAAGCCTTACAGATGCAACACTAAGAACAGAGATGCAAAGCACTGCTTCTGGTTTATTAGGAAGCTATCTTAAAATGAGTGGAAATGGTGTTGCTTTCTCCCACCCATCCATCTATGAGAGTGTGGCAGTAGCAGTTGGAAACAAAGACCCTCTCTTTGCTGCACAAGAGTTTCCTGTTTCAGTCATCATGCAAAAGTGTAAGGTGCATGTGCCACAAGAAAGAGAAATTGAGATGTACATCTTCTTCAAAGAATCATCCTCAGCCATGGACGCACTTGTTCAGAGGCTGGCTGCAGAAATACGTCAGGGGAACTATACCGTGATACAACATGAGCTCTGCTTTAAAAAGAAGTTCTTTGAGCAGGTGATACGCTCAAGTGTCTCTACCTCATTTTTCCGTTTTGGCCAGGTAAGACAAGGGGCATGTCTGGTTTCTCCAACTGAATGTTTAGTGTTCCTCTCAAGGGTAAATAAGAAAGGAAAACTCAGAATAGGAACCCATGAAGTCTTTCGTTCTTGTCATTGTCACTCAGCAATATGGTTTAAACATATTTTATTCTATTCAAGAAGAAAGAAAAGGATTGGCAACAAACCTAAATGGCTTATATTAATGCCGCTCCATAATACATGTGAAGGTTCACATTTGTGCATAATGTTGTACATATTTATAGTGGTTATATCAAGTTATCTCTGAATAATAACAATCATGGATATCAACAATTTATCTTGGTTTTGTTTCGTGGCCAGTTGGTACAAATAAAAAATAAGAGAAGCTACAAAACTTTATGAATCAAAACGTTTTGATGTAATAATGAATTGATGGACTGACCGTAGAATATCCATATTCGTCTGATGAGATACTGAGTTATTGCCATTTAGCACATCCCGCAGGGAGAAACCTTTCACTCAGCAATATACTAGCTACATGATTGTGGTTTGTAAATAATCGAGTCTGTACTTATATATTTAACCCATACCTGAATCATTTTGCAGGAATGGAATCGTGTTGGTATCAATCAGAGAGACAGTACAGGGGGAACCCTGCTGCATGCAGCTGTTGGATGTTGCAACTACATCGCTGCTAAGATCCTGCTGGAAAGCGGAGGATACGCGAACATTTCAAGAAAGCCAGACATTTCGACTGAAATTATGCTTGTCTCTTTAGTCGCAAGCATCTTCCACAAAAACGGATTTCTTCTTCTTAGATACCTAGGATATGGAGAGACTGCACTTCATACTGCATGCATGATTCAAGATGTAGACGTTGATCTTCTTCGTCTGTTGATTGATCATGGTGCAGACGTCAACAGGACTACTGAGCATGGAGAGACGGCCTTGCACTTGCTATGTCAGTGGGAAAGCAAAGATGACCGGGAAGACAGTTGGGACACAGTGATGGTCGGATGCTATCTATATGTGTGCAAAGAACAGAATAGATAAAGAGGCACCAGAAGCTACACTGCGTTCTTTGAAGGAAAAACATTACGGACCAGAGACTGCACAGATGAAGGCTATCACACTGTTGATACAAAGGGGGGCGGATGTTATGAAGAGAGATACATATGGACAGACACCCCTTGACCTGCTGTGTCGGGGATAGCGTGTAAATGTCAGAACAGTTCAAACCTGTTGGTGTTTACTATTTTTTATACGAAGTCAGAGGATCTTTTTCAAGGACGCAAATATCATATACTACTAGAGTATCAACTCATACTGGGTTTCACCGTATGCTCCAAAGGGATGGTGTTGTCTGTTGCCGTGCGCTTGAATAATTGTCCTACAGTTTGGGCGGTGGGGTCAGTTATAGCGTTCTTCGCGCCGAAATTTATTATTATTATTTATTATAGGATATTTATATAGCCACCGACTTATTGTGGCTTTCTCATCCTAACGAGGTACCCATTCACAGCTTCAGGGTGGACTGGGACACATAGTCACAGTACTTTGTCCCTGTTCATTGCACGTTGCTGTACCCGCAACTAGGTGTTTGCACGTATTCATGTGGCCACCATCTGGTCAAATACCAACCGATTCGTGGGTTCTTTTAAGTGCACAGGGTTGTGTACTGTACACCAGGGGCTGTGACAACACTGAAAGAGTCTGCACACAAAGTTGACTCCAAGGTTTTTACACCCGGTCACAGGTGGGCTCGATCCCGACACCTCAACCTCGCTGGATCACTAGCCTGGCGCTTTAGCCAGCTCGCCAACCGCGTCCGAAATCCCAAGTCTAATTCTACATATACCCCCAACGTCTGGTGTCACCATCAGCCGTTATATTGCTGGAACCAAACTCTCTCTCCTAAGAAGAAGCTTGTCTGGTAGGTCAGCAGACAGTGAGGAATAGGGTCATAACGTTTGTCTTCAATGTTCCACAAGGTCGTGAGGTTTTGTGTGATATATTGCTCTCTTAAGACCTTTTGGAAAACCTTGTTTGCTTGTTCTGCAATGTACCTGGTAGCCACACAGCCTGTACACATGACCACTTATTTGTCATCATCGTGCACCAGGTAATATAACTGTTTGCTCGTAATTGAACCAGGTGACATAGGTTGGTTTTACATAATAGACAGTACTCTTTTTAACTGACTGAGTTTCGTTTTACGCCGCTTTTAGCAATATTCAAGCAACATCACGGCGGGGGACACCAGAAATGGGCTTCACGGGTCTTCGGCGTGACGAGCCAACGTTTTAACCACTAGCCTACCCCACCACCCCACTCTTTTTTAAGCTTAGTTTATTACAATTACATATGTTTGTGAGTTGATAGTTTCATGACTGAAATCGACTGATAAATGATTGAAATACTGATCAAAGAGCCATTAAACCTAATTTACTCACTTTGCGAAGAGCGGCATGGTATCCAGAATGAGCAAATAAGATCAATACGATAAGCAAAGAGGTCACTAACCTTGGTCTTATCATTCCGTTACATAAAGCTGGGGACAGAGAGGCTCCCAATAACTACAGGGGTATTGCTCTACTTGACATACGATAACCAAAGGGGTCACTTTCGTTTCCTTAAGTGATTTTTAAAATTTCACTCAAAATTTGTCTTAAATATTGGCATTCAATTGTCCATTACCATTATATTTATGGGTGTACAGATTAAAACATTACACGTAACATATTTAAATCCTTTTACTTATAGATATTTTTTGACATTACTTCGAAATCTTATTAAAACTTGAAAATATACTCATGCCAATAATGGTTGTCACCCCCTTCAATTTTTTAATTGGAGAGGGTGGGGGTGTGAGGTTGGGTGGGGAGGGGGTGACAACCATTATTGGCATGAGTATATGATGGCGATGGGATGTGCATTCATTATATTTTCAATGGATCGACAGTCATCCTTTCTTGGGATTACACTGAACAGGACTGTAATAAGATTAAGAGATTTACATACTAAACATGTATGTAGATACTAATTTAAACAAGCATTTTCTGAATGTATATTGTCAGGTCACACTGTATCTTATTAACATTGATAATGGTCAGGTGTCCCACCACCAGAATTAAATGAAGCGTTCGTAAACTTGTAAGGTGTCAGTTGTCTCCCTTAGCTGTTAACGTTAAGCTGTCTGATATCTGTGTGAATATATAGTGCTAAAGATTCTGACATAGTACTTTCTGTCATAGCTTTATTAAGTTGATCTACATTATATAAATGACTTGTACAGATACTTGGTAAAAACGTGTTTCTCTGCTTGTTATACAGATGACATGAAGTAATAAAGTCTTCCACTGCAGATACATTCAAATTTGTGCTAAATGTGGTGCCTTTAGCTATTTACAGATTTTTGGCATTTTTATTTTTCATGATTTGCATGGAAACGATTTGGACTTAGTCTAAAAAGACATCAAGCTGGACTTTAAGTAACTATAACCAGGATATTTAGAGTTGAAAACATTATATACATTTAAAAATATTTAAGGAAAATTTGAAGTCAAGTTAAGAAGGGTGCATGTACTGGGAAAGTGCATTGACCAAGCTAACTGAACTCTTATTGATTCACTTTTCTTGGGGAATAACAATTTCTCTGAATTGACATAAACTGGTGTTTCTACACAATTGCGCCTACCAGTCTGAGATATTAGTTAGATATGTCAACGTTTGGTTGATGGATGGTTTAAGGATAACTAGCCATGTCATTTTATGACTGGAAGAATTTGATGGTACCAAATAAAGTCTGCGGAAGGGACTAATGAAAGTAACTAATTATTAAGATTGGATATGAGTCATTTTTGTATGAGGTAGGACATTATTTCGGGGGGAGGAGCCTAAAATTGTCAAAGAAGACTTTTCCCACATTTCGGGGGGAACCGAAGAGACTCTGGGCCCCACCGTTGACTTGAGAGGTTCTCTCTGTATATTGAGAGAATGGCAGAAATGAACATGTAACTTTAGGAGTTGTGCAAGAAACCAACAAGTTCTTCCAGGAAGTTTGTGATCTAAGGTTATGTGTAATTCAGGAGAACTAGGTAGTTTCTGAGGACCTTTGTGAAAGAATTCATTCCAAAATAAATGGACTTGAACATCATACTGGACTTATCTTTGACTATCCATCTTAGCTACATCATCCCCAGAACCAGAGTGGCTAGACAGCTTGCCTAGTGAATAAGGGTATAACACCCCCGAAAACCCCAGGTAACATAACTGTCAGATGATTTGTTCTTTCAAATATGTGGGGGCCGGGGGGATATGTCATCTTCTGATGACTCTTGTACTTTTCAAGTAGTGCAAATACCTTCAGTTTTGACTATGAAATAATTATCAAGCTTACTGGTTTCACCTATGGTATATGCCCATGTTTGTTTCCAACAATCTTGCAACCGTTCCTTACAAACTCTAAGAAAATGGGCGACATCACCAACACCTTGTTCTAGCCACACTATACCAATCCGTGGATATTCAACAAATATTAGATTCTTGTTGCCCATGTTGATCTACCGACTCCATCAAGCTGCTACAACATCAGATAACAAGCCTCTGGATATCTAGTTGTGGTCATGTATAACATTTTCAACCAGTATTTTATTGAGAATGAACATGGTTGTAACATGTAGTGGATACCTTCCTAGGTTTCCATATAAAATTGCTGCTGGAGTGTTTGAATTGATATGAAGAAATTTCTGAGAAATTTACGGTGAATATTTCATAGAACCTGATCACTTCCAAAACCCCAAACTCCTGATGCATAACATAAGATGGGGAACCCATCCTGTCGCGTGGTCCTGTGCTCAAAGCTCAGGTCACAAATCGGTGAAGTTAAGCAGCGTCGATCTCGGAGAGTCCTTGGATGGGTGACCGTGTTTGGAAGCTTGACTCCTGAGAGTTTCTAGGACTTGAGTCCTGCCCCACAACGAAGCACATGTGACACATCTCACCTTAGGCAAGTGAGTTTGTTCAAAATTGTCTCTGTTCACCCAGCAGGAAAATGAGTACCCGGTGGAAAAAGTCATATGACTATAACCATCTAGCGCCTAACAGGCAGCTTGGGTTATCCAGGGTAATAATGTGCTGTGCCTTGATTGTTAGCGCTATGAGCATACCTAGTATGGAGTTTGGCGCTATGTGAATGGACACATTATTATTATCCTGTCAAATAGAAACATAAACTCTCTTTTTTAAAAACAAACAAATGTACAGGGACTTCTCTTGTTGTGCTAGGGTATTTCTGGCCAAACTCCATGAGAGATCAGGAGTGAAGAACACACCAAGACACGTATAAGTTGACACTGCCTCAAGAGGAATACCATTATAATGCCACTTTTCCGTTTTGTTATTACACCACCTCTTCGGAATACCATGACTTTAGTTTTATCTAAATTTATCTTCATCCCATATTGACTGCAAAATCCTGCTACACAACCTATCTGATGTTGTAATCTTCTCACAAGAATCTCCAACATTAGCAATATCATCTACAAACATTAAAAAGGTAATGTTGTCAGCATACTCATTCACAAAAATACCCTTGCAATTATTTGACTTGAGATTATCTACGAACTCATTGAAAACAGATACTAAACATGCATTTTACATATTTTACACAATCAATGACAATAGCTTTGATTAGGTCACTTGTTTCCGGACCCGTGATGATCCGGGGTAGAATAGGTCTTCAGCAACCCATGCTTGCCACAAAAGGCGACTATGCTTGTCGTAAGAGGCGACTAACGTGATCGGGTGGTCAGGTTCGCTGGCTTGTTTGACACATGTCCTCGGTTCCCAATTGCGCAGATCGATGTTCATGCTGTTGATCACTGGATTGTCTGGTCCAGACTTGATTATTTACAGACCGCTGCCATATAGCTGGAATATTGCTGAGTGTGGCTTAAAACTAAACTCGCTCACTCACTTGTTTCTGGGGTCCAGAGCACAAGTCTGCACGGTTCCATCTATATCGTGACGATGGTGTTGGTTGGGTGGTTGTTTAACGCCGCACTCAGCAACATTCCTGCTATATGGCGGTGGTCTGTGAATAATGCTTTTACGACAAGCATGAGTTGCTGAAGACCAATTCTAACCCGGATCTTCACGGGTCATTACATCATGACGGCCACTGAGTCATCGAATCCAGAGCAACAAGTTACATGAGTTAAACATGACACATTTTTGGCAT